ATTTTTTTTTTGTTTTATTTTGCTATAATTTTTTATGTTTTTTTTACTTGTTTTTTTTCTTTTTTGTTTTTTTTTTTATTATTTTTTATTATTTTTTTTTTTTATTCTTTTGTATTTTTTTTTATTATTTTTTTTGTTTTTTTATTTTTTATTATATTTATTATTTTTTATTTTTTTTATTTTAATTTTTTTTAATATATTTTTTATTTTTTATTTTTTTTATTTTATTTTTTTTATTTTTATTTTATTTTTTTAAAACAAATCAATAAATTTTTACTTTTATATTTTTAATAACTAAAATTATATTTAGATATATTTATTATAGTAATATTAAAAATATAGTTTTGGTATTTTTTAGATATAATGTCTTTAAAAATTTTAATTTATAATATATATAACAAAAATTTTCAAGATTAAAAATATTAAATTGAGCTCCAGACTTATACCAGTTTCCGGTTTCTAATATTATAGAGAGAAGAGAGAAGAGAGAGGAGAAAGGAAGAGAGAAAGAGAAAGAGAAAAGAGAAAGAGAAAAAAGAAAAAGAGAAAAGAAAGGAAGAAAAGAAAGAGAGAAAAAAAAGAAAAAAAAAAGAAAAAGAAAGAAAAAAAAGAAAAAAAGAAAAAAAGAAAGAAAGAAAGAAAGAAAAAAAAAAAAAAAAAAAAGGAAGGAAGGAAAGAAGAAAGGTAGGAAGAAAGAAAAGAAGGAAAGAAAGAAAAAGAAAAAAAAGAAAAAAAGAAAAAAAGAAAGAAAAAAAGAAAGAAAGACAATCATTTGATACACAGAAAAAGAGAGACAGTCATTTGATATGTGAAAAAGAAAAACAGTTATTTATACACAGAAAGTGACAGTCATTTGATATGTGGAAAAGAAAAACAATCATTTAACATGTGGAAAAAGAGAGACAGTCATTTGATACCGTATTTTACTGTATAAGATATCTAGATATCTTAAGTTTCACATAACAAAAATTTAATTTGTACTCTGGATATATTGTATAGCAGAGGGTACATTATGTGGGGTTTTTTGTAAAGAGGGTATACTAAATAGAAATAATTTATATATCATATCAATTTTTCGTATTCTCTTTTAATTAATAACAATAAGCTTTCATATAGTTGTATTTAATTAATAAGCTTTACATATAATTCTAACTTATGTTTTAATTAATAAGCTTTATATATATGTTGTTTTTTAAGTTGCATCTTTTTTTTATACTAAGATAAAACTTTTCTTAAGAACAAACTTTTTAAAAAAAAATTACCTTTTGCAATACTTGACTATAGTACACTTGGAAAGTATTTTTACAACCAATCTTTAGCAAAAAAGAAAATAACAGTGGACAGCCCAGGAAAAACTTTTTATTATTTTATACCTTGAAAGAGTTCCTAGTGCCACTGTTTGTGAAACAGCTGATAGATTTCAGATCCAACCTAAGCAAATTAGGGATTGTAGAAATAAGCGAAAAGAGTTATTATTAGCTTAGCCTCATATTAAGCATCTTAATACTGATGCTCAACCAAGTTACCCTAATCTTGAAATAGAACTTGCTGAATGGATTCAAACTTTATGCACTAATTTAAAACCAGTTAGTCATAATATGATACAAGTCAAAGTGGCAGCATTAGTAAAGTTCCCACAATATACTATTCAATATCCTAATATTGATAAGTTTAAGTGGAGTAGTAAGTGGCTCGAAGGCTTTTTACACTATTATAATTTTAGTAACCATTGTAGAACAACTGTCATACAAAAATTACCAGAAGAGTTAGAAGTACAGCGGCAAGAATTTTTAAATTTTGTTCAGTATCATCATATTCAACATAATTATCCATTATCATTAATAGGTAATATGGATGAAACCCCTTGCTTTCGACATGCCAAGCAATATAACCATTGATAATAAAGGAAACAAGACTATCAGTGTCAGAACTTGTGGTTATGAAAAATCCTGTTTTACCATCGTGCTTGCATGTATAGTGGATGGTGAAAAATTACTACCAACAATCATTTTTAAGCTAAAAAATATTCCACATCTTGAGTTTCCATCGGGTGTAATTATCAGAGCTAATGAAAAAGGATAGATGAATAAATAGAAATAAATTATTAGATAGAAAAAATTTGAAAAAATCGTACACCATATTTTTATAATCCATGATCATTACTAGTAATAGATTCTTTTAAGGGTCACTTAGTTTCTTCTGTCAAAAGTAATTTTTTTGAGAAAAATACTAATATTGCCGTTATTCCTGGAGGATTTACATCAAAAGTTCAACTACTCAACATATCAATCAATAAATCATTTAAAACAAAAGGGTGCTTTTTTTTTTTGTAATACTATGAATATATATTTTTTTATTTATATAGATTAGGTTTATGTATAATGAATAGATAGCACAAGAAGTAAGAGAATTAACTGAAATAGGCTAAATTAAATGCCCTCACTATAATACTATTGCTGAATAGGTTAAGCATGCATGGGATGCCATTGATATTAAGCTAATTAAATGCTCCTTTAAATGTTGTGGCATCTTAGTTGCAACTGATGAATCAGAAGACGATTTAATTTTTGACTACAATCATGTTGAAAATAATAAAGTTGATGAATATATTTTTAGTAATAGTAAAACACTTGATTTCACAACTTTAATTTGTAAAACTTTTTGTCTTAACAATATATTTATTTCAACAAGACCTTCTGTACCAACAAGACCCCACTTCAACAAAGCTTTTCACTCCAACAAGGCCCTCCGCTCCAACAAAACCCCACTCCAACAAGACCCCCTGCTCCAACAAGATCCTCCATCTTAACAATATCTCCCATCTCAACAATGCCTCACACTTTAGCATCTTTTACTTCAACAAGATCTTTTGCCTCATCAAGATTTTCCATTTAATCACACCAACAGAACCCTTTGTCTCAGCAATATTTCTTGCCTCAACATAGCTTCCTATCTTATCTGCACCTTTCACTACAAGGTTTCTTGGTTTGGCAAAATTTTCTAGCTTAAGAAGAGGAATTTGAATTTTATTATGGTCAGAATGAAATAGAAAATTTTGAGAATCAATGGAGTTAATAATTGTAGCAACATAAATTTTAAAAGTTTAAATAAACTTACTATCTGATCTTTGAACTGCTAAATCTACATGTATTAAGTTGTAGTCATTTTTCTGGTCTTTAACCCAATATTTCTTCAAAAGGCTTACATAGCATGGCATTGTGTCTCTAATAATGATTGGTCTCAAATCTTTTCGAATTTCTATTGCTAGTCTTAAATTATTAACTTTTTCTAATCTTCTATATAACCATTCTAAAAAAATAAATATTGATGCTTTGTTGAATTTTTCCTTGCAAAACTTCAGGAGCTATATATAATAAAACTCCATAAATTTTACCAGGATTCTTTGTCTAATATTTTATTGACTGATATTGCAAGTCCTAAATCTTTGATATATTGCTTCTATATAAATTATAATGAATAATATTCAAATAAATTAACTGAAAATATATAACAACAATTCTAATTTTTTCATCTATTTCATTCGTACAACTTTATAAAGATTCTTGCATAAGATTCTATTTCTGTATATTGCATACTAAAATATATTTACCTGTGCCTTCATCTTTTGATATTTCGTAAAGTTGCAAGAATGTGAGGTGCTAAAGGTAGCAATTTAATATTGACTACTACAAAAGTAACATATATAAGAAAAAATGAAAATAAAATATTTGTATGGTATTTACAATATGCAGACAAATTCTTACCTTGGGCACTTAGATCATGTTATTAAAATAGCTGTAGAAGAACATTAGTAACTTTATTGTAAGAACTATCAAAATTGTTTCTAATAAAAGCTAGTAAAACACATGATCTCAGATGCTTAGTAGTAAGAAAAAATTATATAATATCTGTTTCTTGATATATATAAGTAGTTATTGATTCGTACCTAGATATCTTACAAAATACTACTAATCAAGGAGGTATCTTGCATAGTAAAATATGGTATTTAGAAAAAAAGAGACAGTTATTTGACATGCAGAAAAAGAGAGACAGTTATTTGATATACAGAAAAAGAGAAATAGTCATTTGACGCACAAAAAAAGAGAGACAGTCATTTGATACGTAGAAAAAGAGAGACAATCATTTAAGACACAGAAAAAGAAAAACAGTTATTTGTTACATAGAAAAAAAGAGACAATCATTTAATATGCAGAAAAAGAGAGACAGTCATTTGATATGCAGAAAAAGAAAGACAGTCATTTGACATGCAAAAAAAAAGAGACAGTCATTTGATACGCAGAAAAAGAGAGACAGTCATTTAATATACGGAAAAAAGAAACAATCATTTGACACATAAAAAAAGAGAGACAGTCATTTGATATGCAAAAAAAGAGAGACAGTCATTCAACATGTAGTAAAAAAAGAAATAGTTATTTGACATGTGAAAAAAAAGAGATAGTCATTTGATGCACAGAAAAAGAGAGACAGTCATTTGACATGCAAAAATAAAGAGACAATCATTTGACACACAGAAAAAGAGAAACAGTTATTTGACATATAGAAAAAGAGAGATAATCATTTGATATGCAGAAAAAGAGACAGTCATTTGATATACAAAAAAAGAGAGATAGTTATTTGATACACAGAAAAAGAGAAATAGTCATTTGATATGCAGAAAAAGAGACAGTTATTTGATATATGAAAAATATTTATACGTAAAAAAAGAGTCTGTAGTTTGATATGCAAAAAAAGAGTTAGTCATTTAATATGCAAAAAAGAGTCATTTATTTGATATGTGAGAAAAGAGTTAGTTATTTGCTATATGGAAAAAGAATCAGTTATTAGATATGCAGAAAAAGAGTTAGTTATTTGACATGTAAGAGTCATTTGATGTGCGGAAAAAAAGTATTAACATTAATCAAAAGCTTTATATTATATAATAGGAGATTTAAAATTAAAATGTAAAAATCTAATTTTAATTAAAATTGTTTACAGGTTTATTTGCAAAGAGTGATATATAAACTTTATTTTATTTTTTTGATAAATTTGAACTTATTTAATTTCAAATATGCCACTTATTTGTTAACTTTGATATCTAATAGAGAGTTTCTGAATTAATGGTTTTGCATCAGATTTCAGACAAAATAATTGACATATTTACATCAAATATGTAATCTATAAATTCTATTTTTTTAATATATAAACTTATTTACTTAATAGTTTGCTAATAAATATTTAACAAAACAAAGTTAATTTATTAATATATTCATTTGAAGTTTAAAGATCCTACTTCTAATTTTAAAATTCTGACTCAATAAAATAAACGAACATATTAATAAAATTAACTTTGTTTAGATAAATATTTACTGGCAAATAATTAAATAAATAAGTTTATACGTTAAAAAATAGAATTTATGAATCACATATTTTGATGTAATATATTACTTATTTTGTCTAAAATCTGATACCAAACTATTAATTATGAACCCACTAATAAAAATATCTTAAATGTAATAATCTTTACCAAAATAAATAATATACTCGAATCAGCTAAAGAATCATTCGGCAAATTTTTTATTTGATGCTCCAGAATTATGAAGTTTCTTTGAAAATTATTGCAATTTTCATAATTTCTGAAATACCTAATAAAAAGTATTTGAATGGTATTCTAGCCATTTTGATTAAGTTTGTAATTTCAGAATAATAGGTTTAATAAAAATACAAAATTGTATATATGCATAAGTATATATATATATAACTTTTGTATTAGCAATTAAATAATACGAAAGTTTACTAGCACTACTAGATCTATAATTAAACCTTAATCTAAACAGCCTTAGTATATATTAAACAGGACCCATTTAATCAAGGTTCTGTTTAATAAAGTTTAATTAAAATAATATAAATAAACAAGATCCTGTAAGTGGGTTCTTATTTAAAAATATAATTAAAGTTTAGCACAGGTATACAAATACTCACGCTAAACTCTTGGGGGTATATGTATATATGTATATATATAAAAGTAACTTATACGTTACTTTTAGTGTAGTGGTTTGTGTGTAATGCTACAATATATATATAACTTAACAATGTATATGTTGTACCCCAAATAACAATCGGCCTGATTGTCAATCAGGGTAGCCCAGATGACAATTTGATTTTGGGCTATCAATCTTGCCCTATATGCAAATTGCAGATCATATTTACATTTATAAATAAATCGACCAATCAAAATAAACAAAGTTCAAATCACTTGATTATACAGTATATTACATTAATAGAATTTCAATAAACATTAATATACTGTAATTATTTAATTATATATTAGTTATTATAACTAATATAAAAAAAAATTCTAATTCTAATTATTTTGACATTGAACATTATTTGGATGACAACGAGTACTACAAGTTGCACCTGCTTTTTTTACATTTACAATAGTTTTTTAAACAACTTCCTTTGCAAAAACATTTTGTAGCAGTTATAGATCCAGAGCTTTGTTGAACAGCAGCTTCACGGGCACTTATACAGGTATCAGGAATAGCTGCAAGCTCAGGATATTCTCTAAAAGTTCCCATAACAGGGACCAATTCACTAGCTGAATAATATTCGTTCAATCTTCGATACTGGCATCCCAAAATATATGTATCATTCTCGGTAATTTCCAACACTTTACAAGATATATATCATCAATCAATACCAGCGCAATCAACTTCAGAAATTCGAATCTGAACCAAATCATTTGGTTCAAATCTGCGTAGGTGCTTTTTTCCTTTTTCCATTTGTAACCTCATTTTTTCTGTATAAACTTCCAAATGTTTAATAGCTTCTGCTTTGATAGTGTTTGAGTCGCATAAAACGGCAAACCTTGATTCTTAAAAAAAAAAAAAAATTTAACATATTTTCCTTTTCTTTTAATTTTTTACATA